TAATTCATCCCCCATATAGTAATTCATCCCCCATAGTAATTCATCCCCCATATAGTAATTCATCCCCCATATAGTAATTCATCCCCCATAGTAATTCATCCCCCATATAGTAATTCATCCCCCCTATAGTAATTCATCCCCCATAGTAATTAATCCCCCATAGTAATTCATCCCCCATAGTAAATTCATCCCCCATAGTAATTCATCCCCCATATAGTAATTCACCCCCCATAGTAATTCATCCCCCATATAGTAATTCATCCCCCATATAGTAATTCATCCCCCATAGTAATTCATCCCCCATAGTAATTCATCCCCCACAGTAATTCATCCCCCATAGTATTTCATCCCCCATATAGTAATTCATCCCCCATAGTAATTCATCCCCAATATAGTAATTAATCCCCCATAGTAATTCAACCCCCATATAGTAATTAATCCCCCATAGTAATTCATCCCCCATATAGTAATTCACCCCCCTTATAGTAATTCATCCCCCATAGTAATTCATCCCCCCATATAGTAATTCATCCCCCATAGTAATTCATCCCCCATAGTAATTAATCCCCCATATAGTAATTCATCCCCCATATAGTATTTCATCCCCCCTATAGTAATTCATCCCCCCTATAGTAATTCATCCCCCATATAGTAATTAATCCCCCATAGTAATTCATCCCCCATAGTAATTCATCCCCCATATAGTAATTCATCCCCCATAGTAATTCATCCCCCATATAGTAATTCATCCCCCATATAGTAATTCATCCCCCCTATAGTAATTCATCCCCCTTAGTAATTAATCCCCCATAGTAATTTCATCCCCCATAGTAATTCATCCCCCATATAGTAATTCATCCCCCATAGTAATTCATCCCCCATATAGTAATTCATCCCCCATAGTAATTCATCCCCCCTATAGTAATTAATTCCCCATATTAATTCATCCCCCATATTAAGTCCCCAAGTCCCCCCTGTGTCAATTCACTTACCTTTGCTCCGCACGTTCCTCTCGCCGTGTTCCCGCGCCGTTCCGGTGTAGCATGAAAATCTGTCTCCTATGAGGTTCTGTCCCCCTCGACGCATCTGCGCATGTGCCAGTTTCAGGCATTAGCAGCCGATCGCCGATCTCCGGCACATGCGCAGATACGTCGAGGGGGACAGATCCTCATAGGAGACAGATTTTCATGGTACACCGGTCTTCAGGGCGGACTGTGAGAGGAGCCTAGCTCCCCTCACGTTCGTCATGCTGCCCCGCCTACACACATCCTGACAGCCATCCTGACAGTATCAGGCTCCGCGGGCCGGATTAAAAGGTCCGCTGGGCTGTATACGGCCCGCGGGCCGTAGTTTGCCCATTGCGGGTCTAAACCCTACCCACCTTCCAATATCACTCCTTTTAGAGAATACAGTGCCAACTATCATTTTGTGGTGCTAAGTAATAGATGTAATGATAAAAAACAAAGCAGTAAAATAGACCCCCCAAGCAACAATACAAAAAAAACTAAAACTGAAACTAAATACCACCCCAGCAACAATAGACAACAGATCTCCCAGCAACCAATATCAATCCACTCTCCAGCAGCCAGCAACAATAGACTCCCTCCCTCAACAGTAGATCCCTTCCAGCAACAACTGACCTCCAACAACTCTAAATCCCCTGCCAGCAACAGTAGATTGCCAAGCAAAAATAGATCCCCTCCAGTGACAATAGATCCCCCAGCAGTTAGCATCAATAGACCTTCTAGCACACCCACACCCATGGAATGTGTGTATTGTGTATGTTAACAAGAAAAGAAGTAGAATAGATCCCCTGCATCCACCAACAATAGCAGTAAGATAGATACCCTGCAGCCATCAACAATAGATCCCTCCCAGGGGCGGACTGACAACTTATGGGGCCCCTGGGCAATAGGGCATCATGGGGCCCCTGTGTCCTTGCCCAAACTCAAAAAAGCCTATGAAAAAGGTACCAAGGGCATCTCATGGGGCCCCCTACTGACTCCAGGCCCTCGGGCAGTGCCCAAGTTTCCAAATGGTCAGTCGGCACCTGTTCCCCCCCAAGACTCCCCCAGCAACAATGAACCCTACAATAAAATTCCACCCCAGCAACAATAGATCCATCTTACAATCTTACAAACAATAGACCCCCAACAGCAACAACAGATCCGCCAACAGCCAGCATCTGTAGACCTCTCCCTTAACAGTAGATCCCTCCCAGCATCAATAGGTTCCCCAAGAGCAACAAAAGACCTCCCCAACAACAATAGACCCCAAAGCAAAAACAGATCCCCTCCAGTGGCAATAGATTCTCAGCAGCCAGCATATACCCTCCACACCCCATCACCCCTTGCCACTACATACATTCAGTGCTGGAGGTGCTGGAACTGCGTTCCCCTGCGTTTCCACTGAAAAAAATGCCCTGATAGTAATTATGGAGCTGCATTATTCATGCAATATATTGCAGCCTAGAGGTCAACTTGAAATGCAAATAGGTTTACAAGAACATGAAATCTAGGAAAAATAAATCAGATATCTAAGCTCTTTAAAATAAATATAAAGAAATGAAATAGCAAAAGAAAAAAACAAACTGCTATTATTTTAAACACTTTACTTTCTATTCCTATATGCTAGAAGCAGCTAGATAATATGGTGGACATGTACCCCACAATGAATAATATTAGGCCCGTTTATTTTTTAATCTTTGCAATGATTGTCTGGAGAATATTAAAAAAAAAGAATAATTTCCCAATTCTGCTGATATTTACGGAGAATGTTTAAAACTCAACAGGATAGTGATACTTTACTAGAGGATCTTCACAAAATGGAATTTTGGATAATCAAATGGCAGGTGAAATTTCTCTGTTTTTTGACTGGTTTAACTGGATTAAAACCACTTCAGTTGCGTGAGGCTGACTATCATGACTGGATATATTTTTCATTTCTGCTTATCAGGTGGCCTATTACAGTGATAAACAATGTTTTCAAAAGGTGTACTTCAACAAATAATATTTAGCCTGGTTGTAACCTGTTCACGGCTGGGCCTAGAAGCCGAGCGGACGCTCTATTAAAAAAGGACATATGTGCCGAGATCACTCTCCCAGCACACATGTCTGGTACTCACAGAAAGGTCCCTATCTCCTCTTTCGATCGGGACCTTTCCCGATCATGTGACCGCCATGCCGACGCATCACTGTGGTCGCATGACCCTGAACCCCGCCCCGCCTCCCGGCTTCTGAAACTCTTAAAGGGCTGGGAGGCGCTAGCGTGAAGGGGTTAATTTTTTTGTGAATTACCTGAACATTAAGATACAGAGCAATGTGACAATGTTTGCCTGATAATAAAGAATTACACTCACTGGCCACTTTATTAGGTACACTTGTTCAACTGCTTGTTAACCCAAATTGCTAATCAGCCAATCTCATGGCAGCAACTCAATGCATTTAGGCATGTAGATGCAGTGAAGATGACTTGCAATAAGGAAGAAAGGGGATTTATATGAATTTGAACATGGCATGGCTGTTAGTGCCAGGCTGGTCTGAGTATTTAAAAAACTGCTGATCTACTGGGATTTTCACGCACCACCATGTCTAGAGTTTATAGAGAATGGTCCAAAAAAGAGAAAATATCCAGTGAGCAGAAGTTGTGTGGCGGAAAATGCCTTGTTGATACCAGAGGTCAGAGGAGAATGGGCAGAATGGTTTGAGATGGTAAAAAGGCAACATTACCTCACATAACTCAAAAAACAACATGAAAGCATGGATCCATCCTGCCTTGTATCAACGGTTCAGGCTGGTGGTGTCATGGTGTGGTGGATCCATCCTGCCTTGTATCAACAGTTCAGTCTGATGGTGGTGGTATCATGGTGTTATGGATCCATTCTGCCTTGTATCAACGGTTCAGGCTGGTGGTGGTGGTATCATGGTGTTATGGATCCATTCTGCCTTGTATCAACGTTTCAGGCTGGTGGTGGTGGTGTCATGGTGTGGTGGATCCATCCTGCCTTGTATCAACAGTTCAGGCTGGTGGTGTCATGGTGTGGTGGATTCATCCTGCCTTGTATCAATGGTTCAGGCTGGTGGTGAAATGGTGTGGTGGATCCATCCTGCCTTGTATCAATGGTTCAGGCTGGTGGTGAAATGGTGTGGAGGATATTTTCTTGGCACTAGCAAAGAATACCTAATAAAGTGGCCGGTGAGTGTAATGATTGGAAATGACTCGGGTAAAATGAGTGATGGAGAAGGTTGTGAAGTACGCATCATTATAATTCTACAGTTCTTCATCTGTATGGAAACACAAAACTCATAATTCATGTCTATATGGACCAAAATCTCTGAGGAATGTTTCCAACACCTTGATTATATGTCCCAAAGAATTAAGGCAGCTCTGAAGGCAAAAGAGGGTCCAATCCAGAACTAGCAAGGTGGACCTAAAAAAACTGACTGGAGAATGAATGTAAAAAGGTTAAAATTCAGCTGGATAGTAACACATTGAAAATAATTTTATACATGGCAGATAAAATTATGTTTTTTGTTTTGTCATCCACCAGAATGGTGAGGAATTGAATAATAGTTTTTCTTCTCATTACACCCAGGCAGCACAGTGGCTAAATGGTTAGCACTTCTACCTGATGGTACTAGGGTCGTTGATTTGAATCCCAATGATGGCACCACCTGCCTGGAGTTTGCATGTTCTCTCTGTGTCTGCATGGGTACTCTTGTTTCCTCCCACACACCAAAGACATGCTGGTAGGTGAATTGGCTCCTGTTTAAATTGCCTCTAGTATGTGTATGTATGAATGTGAGTTAGGGACCTTAGATTGTACACCCCTTGAGGGTTAGGGACTGATGTTAACATGCAATATATATAAAGCACTGCATAAATCAATGGCACTGTAAAAGTACCTGAAATAAATGTTGTATTTTATATTCTCTTGCCAGGTGGGCTATCACAATAACATAACCAATATCATACTAACAGGCTTTCCAAATATAAAAAGCATGAACATTATATTTTTTTTCTTGGTGCTGTTATTTATATATTGTGTAACTATCTCTGGAAATCTTTTTATTGTGGTTTTATTTCATCTGAGTAAAACTCTTCAGTCTCCCATGTACCTCTTCATCACCCAACTATCGTTGTTTGATATAATTCTGTCTACAGATATTCTTCCCAACCTTCTTTATATCGTCTTACATGATGGATGTACCATGTCTCTTGCTGGATGTATCATCCAGTTCTCCTTCTTTGCACATGCTGAGGCCTCAGAGTGTTTTCTCCTGACTGTGATGTCCTACGATCGGTATTTGGCCATTTGTAAGCCCCTGCATTACCACTCTATAATGAACCAATCATTTAGCATTAAATCAGCGATTGCCATTTGGTTATTGGGTTTCAAGATGACGTTGCTTCAGTCCATGTCTATATGCAGTCTATACTACTGTGGCCCAAACATCATTCACCACTTCTTCTGTGACTACGAACCCCTACTTGATCTTTCCTGTTCTGATATTTCACGGATCCATATTCAGACCTTTGTAGTGGGCTTCATCTGTTTCATAGCACCCTTTATGATAATTGTTGGATCTTATATCTGTATCGTTGTTACCATCCTCAACATTAAATCAATTTCAGGAAGGAAAAAAGCCTTCGCCACCTGCAGCTCTCACTTGACCACAGTGTGCATTTTTTATGGGACGCTAATTGCTGTGTATTTGATACCAACAAAAGGTCAACTGGATGTTCTGAACAAGGTTCTCTCTCTGTTTTACACTGTAATTACGCCATTGCTTAATCCGATCATATACACGTTCAGGAACAAAGATTTTAAAAAAGCTATTGGGAAAATAAAATTAAATTCTTTTTAGATGTATGATCGCACAAATATTTCTTACAGCTCATCATTGCCGACATACGCACATCAGCGTATCCTTGGTGGTATACAGAGGAATTATACTTTGAATCACATAACTGAAGGATATGGTGTGAAATAATTGGGGTAGAGAAGTTAAAACCACTTCATGGGATTATAGGGTGGCATTATGTAACTAGAACAGAGTGGTTCTGCAATATTCACAACTCCCATCCAGTTCTTGGACATTCATCATTTGCCTTGACACATTCCACGGTTCCTGGATTAAGGAGTCTCTGCTACCTGTGTGGATATAAATGCTGGGGTGTTCATATCACTCATCAGAGCTGAAGAAGTGGCTTAAAAAACAATGAAACATCTTCAACGCTACAGAACAAGTGAAGGTCACTAACTACTACTAGCTTTACTAGACCAGATCAATGAGAACCATCAAAGACAATGTTGATGGTACTACAAACTTATCTCTATCTATCCATTCAGTCGTACCCGACCCTTGGCGATTGCATGGACCGTCACTCGTAAGCGACTTTTTCCATGAATCCTCTTAGCAATTATTTTACAGGGTAGGTTGCCAGGTCTTTCCTCAACCACCACTATGCAGGAGATCCCGCATGTCCAGGGATGAAACTAGGACAATTTAGACAGGAGCCAGTTAACCTACCAGCCTGTCTTTGGAGTGTGGAAGGAAACCCACTAGAACAGAGGGAGAACATGCAAACTCCATCCAGGAGGCGCCATGGTTGGGAATTGAACCCATGATCCAATTACTCCAAGGGCAAAAGTGCTAACCACTATGCCACTGTTAGAATTATAAATAGTGCGGCGCTCAAGAAACAATACTAACTCAAATAATACAATAAATGTGCTCACATGCAATAGTGTCACAAAATTAATCAAAAACAAATCATTAAGTGAGATATCTTCATTATAAAGTGCCACTCAGTATTATTCCCTATCACTTAGTGCCCACATAATCAAACAAATATAAAAAATAAACTACCATTTGAAAAAACAATTTTCACAGTGTAATAACGTGACCACACTTTATATACTACTCAAAAAAGTCCAAAAAATTGTAGAAATGTCCATAAAGAACTGATAATAATAAATTCATGCAATGTGCAAACAAAAGTGCAAAACGAATGTGTTCTTATTCCGCAACCGTGCCACTCTTCACCTCCTAAGGCTAGATTGCCTCCTCACCTCCTTAAACCGACCCCAAAGGGCCAAACAGCTTTCAGGATCACTCTGGATCCTTATCCCCTGGCGACAAGCACTTCTCCTGACGTTGTGGATCACTTTAGGGGACATCCATTACCCCCTGCTGGCATTGCTGTCAGACCCCGAACCCCGTAGTCACCTCCCCGGCCAAACTATGGGGAAGTGATTCACAAACGGATAGGATATTCTTTTCTACTGCTCTTTTCTAATGGCTGGCTGGTTGTAAGGACTTTCTAAACGACACAGTAAGAGTCTGTGCTGAATCTAGTACGACGTATTTTGAACAAGCGGAGTGGTCGCTATAAGGTTGGTGAGCAATTGTTCTCCAGAGGCTTCCGATTGGGGGTAATGGATGTCCCCTAAAGTGATCCACAACGTCAGGAGAAGTGCTTGTCGCCAGGGGATAAGGATCCAGAGTGATCCTGAAAGCTGTTTGGCCCTTTGGGGTCGGTTTAAACCACCTCCCGACCGGCCGTTGCACATAAACGGCCGGACGGTGGCAGTGCAGGGTCGGGTGGCCGTTTATGAACGGCCTCCCCGCACCCTGCTTGTGCGCGCTCCCTGGGAGCGCGCAGCACCGCGATCCGGTGCCCGCTGTGTCCTCCGGACCTCTGTACGAGATCCCGATCATGTGATCACTGATTGGCCAATCAGTGATCATATGCAAAGTAGTAAGCAAGATGTCACTTGTGACATCATTGCTTACTACGTGTGAAATCTGTGAATGATCACAGAGGTCACATGGTACAAGGCTATTCACAACAGCCTTGTACCATGTGACAAGCTGTGACCAATCACAGCTCACTCAGTACTTTTCAATGAGTGCAAGAATGCACACAGAGAGAAAGAGAAATGATTGCTTTTACATCCTATATGGGTGTAAAAGCAATCTGTGTAAAAAAAAAAAAAAAAAAATCTTCATCACCCCCCACAAGTAGGACAGTGTCACCATGGTGACACTGTACTGCTAGGGTGATAGTATGTAAAAAATAAAAAATAAATAAAAAATAATAATATAAAAAAATAAAATAAAATTGTTTAAAAATTATAATTTTTAGTTATAAACTAATTTGTGTTTGTTTTTTTTTTTACTAAAAAGATAACGGAATAAATTTTGGCAAAGATTTATGATGAAACATTATTTATCTGCAAAATTTTATAAAAAAAACACTTTTGTTCAAAATTTTTGGACTTTTTAATTTACATAGCAAAAAAAAAAATCCCAGCGGTGAATAAATACCACCAAAATAAAGCTTTATCTGTCTCAAAAAAATGGTAAAAAATTAATTTGGGTACAGTGTTGCATGACTGCGCAATTGTCATTCAAAGTGTGATAGCGCTGAAAGCTGAAAATTGCCCTGGTCAGGAAGGGGGTAAAAGTGTCCGGTCTGGAAGTGGTTAAGGAGGTGAGGAGGCAATCTAGATTTAGGAGGTGAAGAGTGGCACGGTTGTGGAATAAGAACACATTCGTTTTGCACTTTTGTTTGCACATTGCATGAATTTATTAATATCAGTTTTTTATGGACATTTCTACTATTTTTTGGACTTTTTTGAGTAGTATATAAAGTGTGGTCACGTTATTACACTTGGAGCACTGTGAAAATTGTTTTTTCAAATGGTAGTTTATTTTTTATATTTGTTTGATTATGTGGGCACTAAGTGATAGGGAATAATACTGAGTGGCACTTTATAATGAAGATATCTCACTTAATGATTTGTTTTTGTTTAATTTTGTGACACTATTGCATGTGAGCACATTTATTGTATTATTTGAGTTAGTATTGTTTCTTGAGCGCCGCACTATTTATAATTCTAATAATATTTACACTGTTTGGGTAGCAGGTTAAGTGCTGGCAGCTTCCAGTAGATGTATTTCCCTTTTGCGCAGGAGGATCTCTGTCTGCACTATGCCACTGTGCCACCCCAACAAACGTATACCATATAGCAAAACAAATCCTGCATTCCATATCTATATAAGAAGTATAAATATTCAAATATGATACTGTAAATAACCAATATTGTCTTTGACGTTTATCCATTCAATCTGTTTAAAATGTGAGTGTCAATATTAGAAAATAAGTGAGTGGATAAAAGCTGTAACAATAAACTTTGGAATTTTCTTACTGCTTTTCAGATCTTTTAAGATTAATAAAGGCTGTGTATCGGGAGAAATGAAATCTAAGAAAAAAAAAATAATTCCTAACCCTAGGTTCACAAAAGTGTTTTCTGCAGCGTTTTGCACAAACGCAATACAGTCCGATTAGCATGCTTTCCTATGAGACATGTTCACATCCAGGGGCGGACTGACCATTTGGAAACTCGGGCACTTCCGAGGGCCCGGGGTCAGTAGGGGGCCCCATGAGATGCCCTGGTACCTTTTTTTCATAGGCTTTTTTGAGTTTGGGCAAGGACACGGGGGCCCCATGATCCCCTATTGCCCGGGGGCCCCATGAGTTGTCAGTCCGCCCCTGGACAGGAATTATGAAAGTAAAAGTAAACAGAGGAGAAATCTTCCAGTGGGGGTACTAGTTCTGGTGACCTGGGGGTCCCCAAGGAATTCCTTTATATTTTGCAGGGATTTCCTCTCACTTCCTGTTTGGCTATTGGACAGGAAGTAGAGGCAAATCTACACAAGGGGACACAGATGACAAAAGAAAATCTGACAGGAACAGGGGTGGACTGACCATTTGGAAACTCAGGCACTCCCGAGGGCCCGGGGTCAGTAGGGCGCCGCCCCTGTTCACATCTCAGCATTTTCACCCGGTACGTTTTTGGAAAGGGTCACATGCCTGATGAAGGGGTCCTGCAAGCCTCCGAAACGTTTCCTTGCTGTAACTATGTGATCGTTCATTAAAACTTTTGGACCGATATTGGTGATCCTCGTGTCTGGTGACATTCCCCCTTTGGAAAGGGTCAGGGACTTTTTTGAATGCAAAAAGTTGAGGTTTTGGTTCTATAGACTTCAATAGAAAACGCTGCAGAAAAGCATGTATTGCATTTTTGCCACGTTGTTTATGAGTTTTGCATTTTAAATCTGCCTATCAACAAGACAAAATTAAAAAAAAAAAAAAATGCATCAAAAACATGGCAAAAATGCGTAGAAAAAGCAGTTGCAAAAAACACAAAATGCAATTCAGAAATGGCTCAAATGCAGCCTGCATATGTGTGAACCTAGCCTAAGTCATTGTTAGCTGGAAAATTAATAATCAATGCAAAAACACAGCACACTGAGGAGAAGAAAATGTATAAAATGGTATCAGATCTACTCAGCTGATAACAGAAACTAATAGTCTATTGCAGGGTCTTCAAACTTTCTAAACAAAGGGCCAGTTTATTGTCCTTCACTCTTTAGGGGATACCGGACTGTGGCCAGCGGGAGTAGGAAAAAGTCCTGGTGTCAGTGGCAGCAAAAAATGCCCCATGACTGATGACAGTGGAAGGAATAGTGTCACATTATTGATATCAGGAATAGTGCCCCATCATTGGTTTGAATGGGAGGAATATTGTCCCATCATTGGTATCAGTGGGAGGAAGAGTGCCCCATCATTGGTGTCAGTGGGAGGAATAGTGCCCCATCATTGGTGTCAGTGGGAGGAATAGTGCTCCATCATTGGTGTCAGTGGGAGGAATAGTGCCCCAATCATTGGCATCAGTGGAGGAATAGTGCCCATCATTGGTGTCAGTGGGAGGAATCGTGCCCCATCATTGGTATCAGTGGGAGGAATAGTGTCCCATCATTGGTATCAGTGGGAGGAATAGTGCTCCATCATTGGT